TTGCAAGAGCAGGAGACTCCATAAAATTTTCCAATTGATCAAAGTTGTGCAGTCGCCATAAACATTCTGCATATTGTTCATGAATATCTTGTGCTATTTCAGGCCTGAGGATGCAAAATTTTTATAATGCACTTACCAACATGGTATAAATATTTTACACTTCTTTATATATTCTACAAATGTTAGTACAAGATTTATCCATTAATGCACTAATTTTCATAAAATAAGCAAATATTATACTGATAGTGAGTACCTGTCTGTTACAAGACCTTCAGCAATTTTAAGAGCAGTAAACGGTTGGTCAAGACTAAGATAACATCGCACCATTCGCTGAACCTGTTCCGGCTCCAATAGTTGCTCCTGAGCCATTTCTTCATAACAAGCAGCAGCATTCTAAGAAAAGTTAATTAAGAAAATAAAGACCTTACTATATTATACTCACTGTTTATAATAAAACACAAACGCAACATATAACAACTGAGTAATTTCAGGTGGAGAAAAGTCCATCAACAACTACACGCAATCTTAATTTGATGAATTAATATTTGTCATTTGACCAAGAAACATTTTGTTACTATGCAGACGTTTCTTGAGAATTTCTCTTCTTCTATAACATACAGAAGATTGTGTTTTGTGTAAGTAGAAGCGCAATAGATACTTTTAAGTACTGCCACAGAAAAAAAACTACTTTTTTTTTTATACAATGATGTAAGGATGAAAGATGCAATTTCTGAACTGACAAAATTGCAATACATATTACAATAGCCCTGTGTAGCAAGAGGGCCAACAATTGTGCCCGACCAGATCACCACACCATCAGAATTGTAGTGCACTCACTGTTCACAAATGATGCGAATGATCTTACGTGATGAAAGATGAAATGAAATTGGAAACAAAGTTTGGGATACGAAAATCATACTGATGCTTTCTTCCATCTGAAATGATTTATTATATTATAATTACATAAAAAGTAAGTATTACTACCTGATATTGTCCAGTGACTTCATGTGCTCTAGCCAACTGTTTCAAGGAAGGTTCTTTACCCTGAATAGCAAGTGTACCTGCTACTGAATCAGGGTCATCAAGGTGAACATACAGTTCCTAGAGAGAAACTGCATATCAAAAAGTGAAGACATTACTTTTTTAAATTCTTAAACTACTCCACATATTAATAGCAGATTATTGAATTTTACCACTCACGAAGTACGAGAAAAAAACTTCTGATTTAACATGGAATAAATATAAAAAAAAGAAGAAAAAAACAACAAATGATATATATTAAAGTTAATTTTAAAAAATGTTATGGAACTGATGAAAATGTCAATAAGAAAAGAAATTTACTAAACCGTTTTTCTGTTGTATTACAAATTTGTTAGGTTCACAACAAAGACAATTCAAATAAATATATCTTACCTCAAAAAACCAAAGCTGGTTTTGCAACTCGGCTGGATTTTCTTTAATGTATCGTTCTAAGTACACAAGAGCACGAGCATATTCTTGGCATTCAAAATTTCCTTGGGCTATTTGTAATTTACATAAACGTTTTAAGAAACCTAATAAGAAGAAATATCTATCAGATATTGTTCCCATAAATAAAAGACTGACATTAATTATCTTACATAACATCAGCAATCAATCAGCACCAAGACTTTAAGGCCAATGCTTAAAAATGTAATTCTCTCAACCCAATATTTCAAAGAGGTATTTTCAAAAGTTCAGGGATCAACACAAATGACACCCCTTACCATTTTTTAGACCCTTGTTTTATACATGGAACAATTAAAATACAACAGTTTTTGAGAAAAAAAATTGAATTAAAAATTGTGAGAAAATTACTCGTTTCTAAAAAAAAATATTTGACCCATTTTAAAAAGCTGATTATTGAGGAGAGAGTAAAGACAAAAATATCTATCTTTAAATTTGTAGTTTTAAAATGTTAACTTTTCTGCAATTTTCAAAAATACAGAGAAATTGCTGATGCCATGTTTTTTACCATTCTTTGTGACATAAGAAGAGAAAATTTAATGAAAATATGTGAAGCGGTTATTGAGAGATTTTTTTTTTTTTAAGTTGCATAAATTTTAAGCTCAGATTACTGGAAATTAAATGCTTTTATTTCAAAAAATTGTATATGACCTTTTCTAAAGAGCTGATTTTTTACATCAGACTAAGCCAAAAATCTCTTCAATTCAGTAGATTTGAAATGTTTGCAATTTTCGAAAATACAGAGCGTTTGCCAAAAATGTGACTAACAAATTTTTAAATTGCCTATATTTCTTGCTTTTTTAATCAAACAATTTGGTGTTTTTTTTGTTTTTTTTAATTTTTATTTTAAATTTTGAAAATGTTTTTAAGGCTTCATGTAAAGTTTCTTCAGATTGATTGAGGTACATCAATTTTGGTGAAAATCAGCTCAATGGTTTGCATTGATGAGACAGACAAGCATTTTGGTGTCAATTTTTCGTTATCAAGGACACGCAAAACATTAATTCTGGCTACACCACGTGTGAGAGGAAGTTATTTACTAAATATAGAAACAGGTTTTATCAACTTTTTTGTTACCACAGCCAGCGATAAGTGTATTTTGTTGTTGAAAATTTGCCATTTTCCGGTGCATGATTACAATACTGACTATCTCTTCCTTCATTCATAAGAGCAAGAAAGTAAAATTTAGTAGCTGATATAAACATTAGGTTAATTATCCATAAATTTGTATGACTAAAATGAAGAAAAATCTAAGTTGGAAATCACTCATTGTACTGCCATTTAACGTGTACTTAATTCCATCATCAAAATCATAATAAATGAGGATTCAAAATGTGTCTAAAATAAAATGTCAATATCAAAACAGGTATCAAATAATACAACTATTGAAAAGGAACTGATTGCCAGGAATCAATAGTCAGACAAAATTTCTTTTGGAAATTTCTGTGAAAGTTACATTTCTGGTGCAACCTTTTTCCTGCCTTTTTTGCTCTTGACAAATTCTGATATAAACAGCAGCTTAAGTACACTCTTTAACCAACACCCTGATACATAATCAGAAGGAAAAGCCTTACCTTTCATATTGCAATCACAATTCCATATTTTGAACAAATTTTTATATTATTATTGATTGTTTATACTCAAAACAAAACCAGAAAGTATTCTGTAGAAAGTCTTCCGTTTCTGCTAAATTCTAATGCAAACATCTTTACCTTATCATTGAAGAAAAAACATGTTTGAGAGGGTTGCTGCCAAGCCACAAAACTTAAAATGAGAAGACAGTATTTAAAAGTGAGCAGGATTAGGAGCGGGGACGATATACGGACACTTAATATTATTTAATAAATATTTGAGTGAACTGTAACAATAGATCTAGCAAGCTGCTTGTTAAAAAAACACACTCATCTGGACCACAATTCTATGAAATGCTCCACTCTACGCAGTGTATACCATTTCTCTACATGTAGGAAATATTTTTTTATAGATTCTATATTCTTATACGCTACACAATACTGCAGGGAAAATGGCAATTTTTCGGCAGAGAAATTCATTTTGTAGATCCCTGATACTGAAAAAGGGGATAATTCTTGTTCCTACATGTAGTAAATTACTTCCTCTATTACATTGTGCACTCAGTATGGATGTGATGTCAATGTTTTCAAAATATCAACGCTTTTGTAGAAACATCAATGTTTTAAGTATCAATGTATTAACACCCCGAGGTTTTATTAACATCGATGATTTTTCTTCTCTTCTCTTATTTCTGTTTACACATTACTCTTTCAGATTTCATTTTGTATGGCTTTTTCTTTTGAGTTAGAAGGAATACAACATGAACACACATAATAACAGATCTAGATTACTAGTGTAGGTAAGTAATAATATTGAATTGTAATTAACTTCTGATATCTAATATTCTCACCTTGCACACGGGAAAACATAACATTTTTATCAAGGATTTCTTTCTTGTTGGCCATCCGAATAGTGCGGACCCATTGCCAGAGGAAATCAATGAGCTGGAAGGCAGTACGAGAGCAACGTAACTGGTCTGTCATTGAAATTAAATGAAGGGTTTCTGAAGTCACAGACCCAACATTATTACCAGATCTCCTATAACATTTCAATGTGTAGTAAATAATTAATTCAATAATTATTAAGAAGTAATATATTTATAACAGAATTACAAATTATCAAACTAGATTACCAAATAAATCTCAAATTGTTTTTTTACAAAACTCACCACAATGAGGAATCTTTTCTTCTCAAAGGATATATTGAAGAAGCAGCACGACCATGCACAGCCAATATGCACTGATCTCTCTCCATTTCTTTCTGCATTCTAGGTGACAAATTTTCTGAGTCACGAAGGTCTCCAGAACTTAGACTTCCCAATACTGAAGATTCTGACACATCAATAAGAGCTTGAAACTCCTTCAAAACTTCATCTTGTGTTCGTTCAGGATTTTGCGCCTCAGTCAGAGCATGTACTGTTAAAAAATTAGATTTTCACTGAAAATTAATTTATGCTATTGCTTTAAAAATCTTTGAATTTATAATTATTTTGAGGCAAGAGCTTACAAACAATAGTAAGTACTGTGTACACTTACAGAGAATGTATGGCAGAAAGAACAATGCAATGCCCAAATCTCTTGTGAAAGCAAGAACACAAGATTCAAACACTCTTCGGGGTCGCCCTTCAGCCATGTCTACAATTAATTTTAAACTCCAATTTGTCACCCACTCTTGAAGATTTGTTCCCATTTCAGATCTGTCTCAAAAATAACGGAAAAAGTATCTCAGCTATTTAAAAAAAATATTTAATGGCTGTCACATATAACATGCCTACATTATTAAAGAAACTTGGAACAACCTGTTCTTGGAATATTTAATTTCAGTGTTCTGAATCAACGAGGAATGCAGTCAATATAATTAATAAAAGAGCATTACAGTCTGAATTAATAAATTCAGACAATTAAAAGATAGTAAAAAATGATGGAGATACTTTCAGAAATGTGTATTCAACTTTTTTATTAACAATTCAGAACGTCAAAATTTGTTAAACAATAAAGTAGGGTAAGTACGTCATCTGTTAAATTGCAGACTTAATTGGTTCTTTAAAAAAACTCACAAAAAATGCAAACACAATAACACTTATCTCTGATATTAATAAACTTAGCTCAAAACTGTATATATATTAAACACCAACAGTGTTTGATTTACTTAGGTAACGTTACATCAGAAGTGTCACCAGATATAAGCTAGTAGCACCTCTTTTTTATTCATAAAAACAACAATTTATTCAGAAGCTTTAATACATAAAATAGTTTCAAACTAAAGAAAAACACTTTTAGAATTCGTATTTGCCAACAAGAAAATCAATAAACAATTTTTAAATTAAATTATACAACAACGTAATTATAATGTGCCAATGAAACTGAGAACAATTAGAAGAATTTAAACGGTTGAATAAAACTTCAGACTTTACCATCTGTGTTACAGGATTGCCATTTTCTTTATCATTGAACATTGAAGACATTCACTACATAATTAAATTAAAATGATTGCTTATTAAGAATTGATTTGCCATCATAAGATGATAGCACTGATAATATTAATACATTGGAATCACAACAGCATGATCCTCATAACATTTTCCTATATTGTACATTCATACTTAGTCTCAATTCAGTGTGCTTAGTGGTTTACAATCACCATCAGCACGTTCCACATTTGCGGTTATGAACGCTTTGGGAGGCATGCATTTTCTGGAGCAGAAACACCATCTTCCATTTGCGTTATTTTCAGTGTAATTCTGGGTACTTGGATTAATTACAGAACCAAAGAAACAAGTTTTTCGGTGGCTCCATTAGATATTCAATTTGTGTGTTATGGCTGTAACCATGTTTTGGCTTGAATTCAATACTTAGGACACTGTTTTTGTTTTTTCTGATAATGTGCATAATTGTTAGAATTTGTGTATAATTTAGTTTTTAATCAGTATAGAGTTGAAAGTACATTAATTTATTGTGAGTACATTTGGATGTAATTTGTGCATAAATTATATCTCCCGTACTGTAGTGATGTAAAGAAGGAAATGTGAAGTGCAAATTGAGAATTTTTTATAACACTTTATCTTGCTTCTGAATGTCAGAACTTTGAAAAGAGGGCTAATACGATTCTGTATAAAATGTAACTTCTCAGATTAAATCCTATCTTTATTAATAAAATTTTCTGCGCACAACACTGGTATGAAACTTTCATAACCATTTGCCCTATGATAAAATATTAACATCCAATAATTTACTTATGCTGTCCATTTTAAATAATGAACTCACCCATACACAGGAGTAACAATCGACGCAGTCAATGGACATCTGCGTTTATATGAAGACTTTAGTAAAGGACGCATTATATCTTGAACATTTGAGGAAAATGAGTTCCATAGAGAGCTCTCTGAGGACACCTGATAAACTTTAAGCAGGTCCTAAAAAAATAAAGTAACATAATTTGAAGCTGCATGCAAACTTAGTTACAATACCTATGTTTCTGTAAAACAGTACTCCACTTCTGAGTATTTTTTCTCTCAAAATATAAAGTAAATACAAATATAAATACTGTACATTCAAAACAGAAACTATTATTCCACGTTATTATTTGTATACCTGTATAGAAAGAGTGAAAGCATCTACAGTGCGTGTATCTGTAGCATCCTGAAAACCTTTTGCAAGCTGACAGAGGGCCTGAATAGCAAACTCACTGTTATCCACATCATTTGCAAAAAAAGTTGAACCTGAAAACAAAACAAGATAATGAGCACAATAAACCTAATGCTGGAGATTAGAACACAGTCAAAATCATCAAATAAGAAAGATTAACCAAAAATCAGACAGGCAATAAAATCCTTTGACCATTTAATTTAATCCATGAACTGTCAAATTATTATTTTCTTATGAAGAAAAATGAAATTCAATTCATTTCAATGAATTCAAAAGAAATCTAATTCAAGGACATATGCTTTCTATTAATTTTATTTTGAACCCTGGGGTAAAAATTTGTCCTCAAATAAGGACATTGGCCAAAGGTGGCAGATAAACATACAACCTCACCTCCTCCCCCTCACACCTGAATTGCTTTTTGAAATTTTTTGGGGTTGAATCAGTATTAACTACTCAATAAGGTAACTCATTTAATTTCAGAGTATCTTCACTTACTATAGTACATATCACAGTAGTCAATGCACAATGCATTGATGCATTATGTGGAAAAAGTTCATGGGTTCCTAAACAATTTTTCAACATTTTGCTTTTCAGTTACATTACTTTACATATTGCCATACGATTAGAAGTAGAATTTAATGACTTAAGCAAACATTTGTAATAAAAAAGTGACTGGAAGTAACCATCTATATTTTTAAAACTTAAACTAATTGTCAAATACCATGAACAATATCACGGGAATAAAAGTATATTGAAGTATGTAACAAATGATAAAACACCACTAATAGCGCCTAAACAATGCAAAGGATTTTTTCAAATTGAAGAAACCTTTGTCCATCTGGCTCAAATCGAAGCTTTGAGATTTTGAAAACCTTTCTTTAAAATCTGGGGGTACTTTACATGAAGCCCTCTAGGCAGTTTCCACATTTTCTCAAAAATGGCTCAAAATTTTTTCTTTAATTTTCTTGTAAGAATGAAGTAAAACACCCCTATAAAGGTGCGATAAATCCAATTTTCACTGTTATCTCTGGTTTCAAAAATTACAAAAATTGATATTTCCCCATTGATCTGACTGGTGTCCCAGCCCCTCAAATTTCAAAAGGATTTTGTACTTTTTGTGGTATTTTAATTTAATTTTCTGGGCCAGTTATAGAGATGTGGCTCAATATTAGGATAAATGTCAGCTATTCTCTCCTTATGTGTATCAGTCAGTTTTGTTGAAAAACTAGTCTCCTTAAAAAAGATTATAGAATAATTCTACAAATACACATATACAATTATTTTTCATTTTATTTAACTAGATTAGAAACATATCCATACATATTTAATAATATTTAAAAGCAAAACTGATATTATTTTCAATTTTAGTAGTTCTATTTTGGATGTAATGTAAAAAAATAAAATTATTTTAAACATCAGAAATCCGAATTAGCAAGAAATGCCCTCCCCCTTTATATATTATTATATAATATTGTATATTTTATACAAATAAATACAATTACAAAAGAACTAAAAAAACTTGACCCATCAATTGAATAACTGCAAGTAATCCATCAAAACTGAAATCAAAATGATGTAGATATAAGGGCAAAGTTCAAGAGAAATATGCTTATAAATATTTTTACCACTTAATGTCTTTCGATGAGGCAACATGCCAGGATCAACAGCTCCAATTTTCCCTAAACATTCTGCTGCAGCAAGTTTCACTCTCTCATCTGGGTCTTTGCAGGCATCAGTTAGTTTATTCAGCATCTAGATATTTTTCCATAATCAGTATCCAAAGGTAGTCTCTTACTTTATTGTAAGATATGAACATATCCATTACGTTAATAGTTTCAATTACGATACATTACAATAAATAACTTTATAAATCTCTATCTTCAGAGTATTGTATAGAATGTTCATTTGAAATACCAGAGAATGCAGTTCATCAACCTCACCTCAATAATGCAAGGCTCCACGCGTTCATGCTTTATAAGGGCTTCATTTAGTTGCACATGTGATTCATTCAATAGGTCTGTCAAAAACCTCAAAGCATGAAGACGAACATCAACATTATCATGAACCACATACATTAGTTTCTCTTTAATTTTACTGTACACACTTGTCCTGGGGAAGAGGGCACGTAGCATGTCAATTCCTACAATTCATTAATATTTTCTTCCAAAAAAAATAGCATTTTGAAATAACTTACTTGGCATGAGTACTTTTTGATGAGCTCTTTATGATGGAGAAAATATCATGAAGAGCTGGATGTTCTGGCACAAAATAAAGCTCTTTAAAATAAGGCCATAAATCTTCCATTTTCTCCACCACAATGTACTCAAAGACTGATGCAACTTCTTTTGGGTATGTTTCTAATAAAGGCAGGAGAGAAGCAAAGACAGTGCTTAAAAGAGGTCCAAGAGAAGTGTCATCCAAACTGCAAAAATAGATAATACATCAATTTTTTGGTATAAAACTAACTCTCTATAAGACATGCATTCTTAGATTACACTACCTGTGTACAAAAGCATTCCAAGCAGCAATAGTAAGATGTGGAAAATTAGCATGGTTCAGTCGCAAAGCAATACGTAGAGTAGCAAGCACTTTAAAGCGCACTACTGAAATGTGCCGTGGTCCCATAAGCCGGATGAGTTCTGGCATAGAACGCAATGCATTTACTTTCACAGATTCTGCAGCAGTTTCAGATGTCAAACATGATTCCAAATGAGTCAATACACCCAAAAAGCGAGGTTGTAAAAAATCTGCCTGCAAAATGCAATAAAATGAAAAGAAAATTGGAAATACTTCAAGGAAACAAAATATTTCTAGGCCACTAACCTTTCAAGAAATATAGTTTTTGTACAGCCATTTTCCTATCAGATTTAGATTTATTTCAGCTTTTTGAAAAACCTTAAGTCTATCTCAGCTTCATCTATGACAAAAGTGTCATCAGCAATTTATATAAAATCTTCTTTCAACAAGGTTAGAAATGTATTCTTTATATTTAGTAAAAATAGTATGGTCCGAACACCATTCACACCACAAGTGACCACTCCTTCTCCGCTAGTTACGATAGTTTATTTTATACCTTGCTTACAACAAATTAAATAACATTCTATCAAATTTTAAGTAATTCCACCAAAGCTGTATTTGAAGAATTTTTTCAATAGAAATATTTTATTTCCTACTTCAAATGGTTTAGCTAAGTCACGATAAACAGAAATGCAGGGTCACATTTATCTATTGCATCACTGATCTCATTTGATACATAATTAATGGTGTCTTTGGTATTCCCAAAACTAAATTGGAATGAGTTTATAAATTGACATCTTAATAAATAAGAAGACAACTTTGGCTATTTCTTCAAGTAATTCAGCCATTCAACTTTGTATTTTCTTGCGTATTTGTGGCCAAGATGGTCTTTGTAAAGAAACTTACATTATACTTAAACTGAGTCAAGATGTATCAATTCATCACTTAAGACAATTTAACCTTACATGTTCAAGAGAGACAACACATTAACAATACTCACAATCTGTTCCTCTGACAGGGGACTCGATACTGGGTTTCTGTAAGTGGGGTCTACTCTTGCCAACCATTGCAACGTCTTGAGCACACGATTCCGGTGGCCTTCAAAGTGTAGTAGCAATTCATTATGAATGATCTACAAAATATAATAAAAGAAATGAAATATCTATAAAATTCATCAAATTGTATTTTTAACAATAATTAGTGACAAGTTGAATGTATATTCTTACCTTCAGGAAAGGTGCCATGAATGTATTAAGATCATCTATTTCACCTTCTTTTTTGAAAAACTCAATAAATTCAGATAGAAATTCTTCAGAATAATTGACAACAATGTATGGATAAATGTGCTAAAAAATGAAAAGCACAAAGCGAAAGTAATTAATACTTTAGAGAAAATTAAAAGACTCAAACTAATGCAAAATAAGAAGATACATCAATAACACCATTGCAATAACGTAAACAGCATAGCACCCACCTGAAATGTTGACTGGAGCAAGTCTTTAAGAGTCAATGAAGTGACAGATGCCACTTGCTGAAGGACATGCATTACTGATGGTCGTGTCAATACTACAGCAATCAATGGGGGAAGAACCGTTTCTTTTTCTCTTATTACTAACTCCCTGGCATCTTCAATGTCAAACTGACGTGCCAAATTAGTGAGTGTATTCAAAAATCCATTTTCTCCAACATGGCACCAGGCTGCTGTGAGTACCATATTCTATGTAAACATACAAGATTTTTAAAACCTCTCACTCTAATGTAAGCATGTAATATTGTTCACTAAAATTTAATGAAACCCTGTAAAATTTTATTTTCATTACTGTTCATATTTTACTTTTTAATAGTTACTCATCATTCTGATATTATATTTATTAAGTTTGTTATGCACATAATTTTTTAATTCACAACTAACATCACAACTTTGGAAGTTAAAATGAGAGATTATATATGATATTTTGAAAATTTATAAGAAAATTTTGTAATGTACCTGATATTTCCCTTGAAGTATTTTTATATTATATTTTAAAATTATGTAAGTATTTATGTATGTATGTATATTCAGGTGGTAAATACAGATTCAAAATATACATACATGCATTAAGATACACAGTATATATAACAGGGTTGGCCAAATGCCAGCCTGAGGGCCACATGCAGCCTGTGGTGCCATTTATTGTGGCCCTTGAAAGGTTATTAGCAAAAACTGAAAGTCTTTTTCATCCTAGTTGGGAGAGAACATTGTGCACCTAGCGCTCGCACCCTGCTAGGGTCAACACCCCCTTTAATGTAAAAATATGTTAAGTTAAGACTTAAGAATTTTTTATAGTAATTTCAGAATCATCCCAATATGTTTCACTGCGTTATACATGGTAGGATCTGATAACACACATTGTTCAATCCCCCCTGTTTCAGGGCAGCGAAGAGAAGTGCCACGATCGACAATACGGAGAAGTCAGGAGTGGATCGCCCAAGTAATGAAAATGTGGCCCTTAACCATGTTAAAGATTTTTATTGTGGCCCTTGAGGACTTGCAAGTTGGATATCCCTGATAAATAACTTTCATCTACACTGAGTCCATGCTTGTGCACAAACCTGCTTATCCCAATATATCATGTTGTAGAAATATTTATAAAGAAGAATGAAAGAAAACAAAGACGGGAGAATCACCCCATATAACAAACGATCTGCCACTCAAGTATACATCTAGTTTATGATAAAAGGTATTAATACAATGATAAAAATTATAATACCTATACAAACATTTAAGAGATAATAGATACCAATGTAAACAGGAGTTTACCTAATAATGGTTTTACCACCATTCTCATTTAAATTAATTACCAGTTTCATTTCAATTTTTTGGTAGAAGTTTGGGATGGTTCGTATTCAAGCTTGTGAAATCATCTGTCAGTAAATTAAAACTTCTATGACTTATAAAAATTTAATTTTTCCAATCAATATCCTTTCAAACAATAGGTGGTTGTATCAACTTTACTCATTAGCCGTTAAATTTGTATAGACATTTAATAAGGAGAATTTATACCGAATAAACTTTTCTAAAAGATGTTTTCTTATGTTAAGTATTTTATTTTCTCTTTACAAGATTTCAAAGAAGTAATACCTGCCTGTTTTAAATATCAATTTAAGGACTCTCTTTTGAATATCGCTTAAGGACATCATTGAAATTTCATAAGCTCCTCACAATGCAATTATACTGTATGTGCCATATCACATCGATTTATTCATTTATTTGTATACACATACAGGGCAAGTGCTTTTGTTTCAAGGCTCGCAATGAGCTAAGTGTACAATGTCACAATGACAATTGTGGGATGCTTCCCGTGATAGTTTAAGGAAAATGGATGGTTTGAGGGTGTTTCACCCGAATGTTCAATATATTAGTGATACATGTGAGTAAATAGCAACTACCTTACAAGATATAGGAGCTCAGGCACGTGTTTTTACTGAACATGGTTTAAATGTTGATGAAATTAGAGCATACAAGTTTGAAAACCACACGTTAACATATCATTTCTGTAGACAAACACATAAGTGGGGGAGAAGAAATATATACTGAAAAAAGTGTGATATGTGAAGAAATTAAATGGATAAATAAGTATAGCAATGAACTGGCTCTGGAATTAATCTGAACAGAGAAAGAGAAGTAATTAAAATTGTGAGAATATACAGATCTCCAAATGCAGACACTACAGAATTCTTGAAAACGTTTGAAGAGTCAGTAAATGAACTAGATAAATATAAGAGTAAAATAGTAATAGTAGGAAACTTAAATATAGACACAACAGAAAATGAACTAAGAAATATAACCTTATTTAAAACAAACATGTATATCAATACAAGAGGAAAAGAAAACTATCACAGAATGTGCTCTGCAAAATCCTCCTCAAAGAAAGATCCTTACCAGTATGCTGCAATACTCTTCAATAAACTACCTAACCATTAAGGTGTTAAGCAAACACAAAGTTAAAAAAAAATAATAATAATAATAATAATAATAAAAGAAAGAAAGAAAGAAAGAAAGAAAAGAAAAGAAAAGAAAAGAAAAGAAAAATAAAAAGAAAGAAAAGAGAAGAAAAGAAAAGAGAATAAAAAAGAACAACATCATTTATATATTCTTTACTGTAGAATATGTTATTTTATTTACATAAGATAAGCAATTTAGATTGTCATTTCTATTCACTATATAAAATGTAAATAATTGTGAATACTACTATTGTATTAAAAAAAAAGAAAACTGTTAGAAAAAGAATATTAAATGTTTAATTATGTATGATGATGCTTCACAACATGTAACATAGTTAATATGAGCAAATAAATTTTCAAGATCATAATCATCATAATCAGCATCATCATAATCATTATCATATTCATCATGGTAATGGGCCCAGGGTGGGACTGGTAAACAGCCACCACCAAGAATACTTTGTAGTAGGGAATTCAATGTTCCAGGTTCCAAGGAATTGATACTTGCAATATCCCCATCAAGGAGCTTCAGTTCAACCACTATAAATGGTGTACTAGTGTGAGTTAAAACAAGTACAACTACCACCTTTGTTCGCACATGTAACAGCTCTTGGGCATGGCGAAGTTAGGGCACAGGAAGCTCTTCCCCTCTATCCCTTTTCATTTAAACATAGTACAGGTGTTTTTTCACACACATTTTAGCCTTAAAAAACTACGGTGGAAAGGACCAATCTGTGCCAATTTTCGTGAATGGGCACCCCTACCCTATCCCCACTATAAAAAAGCATGCAGATTGTGAGTTAGTGAAGCTACATTTACTGTCCAGAATCAAAGCAAGGACAGCATATGTTCAATAAATGAAAGGAAGTGGGCAAAAAATACCTCATTCAAACAGTTGTTGAACTACATTTGTACCATTTTCTTTGTAAATGATTTTGAATTCATATTTGGAGCTCTGAGTAAAATCATCCCAACATGTATCATCATATCAATATATCTTCAAAAACCATGAAACATACCTTGCAAAGTTCTGGTTTAAAGCGATGGAATAAATCCTTTGGAGTGACATTGTGTGCGTGTGCGATATCACGTATGCATCGCTTCACTAACCCTGCTTGAGCCGAACGCCAATGACCAGCTAGAGTTACTAATTGCAGAAGTGAAGGAAGCAGTACACAGTCCAAAGCAATGCTGCAAGAAAAAGAAAAAGAAAGAAATATTTTGAAAGACTTTATCAACATATACCTGTTGGAGCAAGTAGCACTATTTACTAACAAAGCAGAGGTGCACCGATGAGAGTAGTAACATTTAATCTTCTTACATTTAATAATCATCTCAATCTATTGAATCAAAGCAAAAACATACAATTACAAACATGAAACACTGCATTGTTAAAGAAATTTATTTTTTTATGATATAGGAAACGTTTCAAAGTATACTTCACACCATATTTGAATAAAGTTAGGTGAGGAAAAACAGATATGTAATAAATAGGAATCAGAATGCCAGAGAGCAATATTTGTTGATGTATGTGAAGTATTTGAAGGATTGGAGTAATTTAAATTGAGTTTCCTCTTCGAGAACAAATTGCCTAGATAAGATGCTAGGGCTGTTAGAAAGATCAGTAAACCCACAACTTCATGTATGATGGTTAAGGTATGATGTATGGTTCCTACAAGACTTTAGGGAGCTTTTGCATGGCATAGCATAGAGCAAACACACACAAACATAATGAACCCCTAAATCGCATGCTGTTATGATAGTTTTGGTAAAAAAAATAGATACCTCTGCATTGCTGACAAAATATGTAAATAACAGTTGATCCAACATCACTTTTAGCTCACACTAGGAAGTTATTTAACTAACACTACCAAAAATAATTTTGAAAGCAGTATAGATTTGAATAAATTTTACGATTCTGAGACCTGAACCCCATTAAAGACAATTTCTTTGGTTAATTAAATATGTTTTTGTAAATTTGTTCTATGCCTGTATAGAAAAAACTTACCATCCTATGTTGCTCACAGTAATTACTAAACTCTCTTGGCGTGGATCTCCATGTCGCTTCAGAACATTTCGAGCAGCAACCACCAAAGAATCCGAAAAGCGAGCGAGAAGAGGTACAGAAGTACTCAGTTCATGGCGGTCCAGTTGACTCAGAGGAATGAATTCATCTCCAGTTTCTTTAGAAACTTGTTCTTTATCTCGTATCCAACATCCATCAAATACTAACCAGCGAGCATGTTTTGCAAACTCAATGCGTACCTTAAAAAACAAAGGAAAAATATGTTTACGGGATGTTAATAAAGAGGGAGATTATTAAATATGCATTTTTCAATTGTATGTGAGTGAAAAATAGTAATTGCTTCATTTAAATTCATTTAGTGAATTCAAATTTAAATGAATGATTTTATGAATATTTTGAAGAAAAATAACAAAGAGATAAATTTAGACCCACACATATCACCATATCATTCAATTTAATGTGAACATTTTTTTATTAGAACTGTGTATTAATTCTACTTGGAAAATACCAACAAACATTAACAAAAAAAATGTGTGTTATTAAAATAAGTTGTTAAGGTGTTATTAAAATAAAAATGTCAATAAAATTTTAATTTTTTCACACTGATAGAAAAGCATGGTGATTTGAACATCTCACAAAAATCCAGATCATCGAAAGGTCAAAAGAAAGTTCATGCTGAAGATCATGCATAGTATTCTTATTTTTGCATTAAATACTACTGTATATATTTAAGACATTTTCAAAACAATTCTTAATTTGTACACACAATAACTAAGCATAATAAGCTTAATTATTACTGTTGCATAAAGAATAATAATTTCTGTAAACACACTTTTTTCTGAGAGTTATAAGGTTCTATTGTATGACACAGTAAGTCATTACTCACTAATATTCACAGTAAGGAAACATTGTTGAAACAACCTTCCAAGAACAAGCAAAAGAGCATATCAGTTGCAGAATATTGTGAAATGATCAGATGCTCACTGTTCAATTAGTTATTACTTAAAGAACTTTAATTTCTTGAAAAATTATTCAATTTATCAGAAAGTTCATGTGAAAATCTCCAGGAGATATTTTTGTTTTATTGAAATGAAAGAATATTTTTTTAATTCAAGGGGGGGGGGGGGAATGAAAACATTCACAAAACTAAGAACTACTGTGCTCTTAAAATTAAATTTCAAAATAAGAGTAGAAGCATTTTTCCAGTCAAACTCTTAAATGGAATGTTTAGGCTACATTTAGTACAACTACAATTTTAACATTGTTATACACAAATAATATTCTAAAAGTGTTCATGATAAAGACTTCATTATTTTCAATTGTTCAATGATAAAATATCAATGAAATGCTTTAAACAAAAGTTAATAAAGTTAAAGCTTACATAAAGTTAGAGTAATTCAAAACCATAAGATGAGGATACAGATTTCAATCTTTTTCATTTGACTCTAATTAATTAAAATATTAAATAGAAATGTCAACTAACCTCCCTATCCTCATCCAGTAACAAAGGCATCCAACTTGTCAAATCACAGCAATGCCGAAACTTTGACAGATGCCCAGCAAGAGTTGGTAAAGCACGAGCCACATACCTCCGAACCTCTACCTCCTTTGACTGAAGGAAAGGGGTAAGACAAAGTAGTTGTCCTTCCAAAGATCCAGAGTAAGGAAATGGGGAGTTCAGCCAATTCTCATGGTGACAGAGCAAACAAAGAAGTTTCCTCTGCACATTTCCTTCTACCACACTTCTGAAAGGTATTTTGAGAATCATGATACACATTTCTGACTAATGTGATCCATATTTCCGGATTACTCAACAACTTACCTGACACACACACAGTTGCCTGAGAGACTGCACACAATAGCACATAGATATTTTGCTAAAACAAGTTGTACTTTTGAATCTGGTGACTGGAATATAGGACTTAACAATGACATTAATTGGCTGGAAGGAACAGGATGCTCAAAATTGTAGAGAAGCCAAGGTATAACGGGGGTAACTGAAGCACACAAGTCAGGACTACCAAAACATTGCTCTACTATCTTCTGTCTCCAGGATATGTGCTTTTTGGATGAAATCAAAGCCAACTGAGATAAACAAAGTTGTTTGATGACTGAATCTACAACAGAGTTCGTTAGATTATAATAAATATACATATTACCGAAGCAGTGTCTAATTAAATTCTTACCTAGATGAGGCTGATATTCATCTTTTATTTGAAAAATAATATGTTCTGCTTTAAATCCAAAGCAATTATCATCTGGATCCAACCATGGTAAGGACAGCATAGCCTCCGCAATGTCCACTCCCACTTGAGCCTCTGGCAATGACACAACCGTTCCCAAAAGTTGCAATGCCTCAGTTAATACTTTATTTGCAACTTCAGCACATCTCGAAGGTCTGCAATGATGCACAGCTGATGTCACAGATATAGCAAGTTCTGGCAAATTGTCCCCGAAATAAGAAAATTGAATGATTGATGATGAAGATTGTTTCACATGCATGTTTTCAATTTCAGCTGTTAATTCAAGACTCAATTCCACAATAGATCTGGAAATAAGATAATTAAAATTATTACTGGGCTCTTTTAAACATTCTCTAAATTATAACCTATATCTACTTGGTATTTTCAAAAAGGTGTAAGACGGGAATAATATCAAAGAAGGGAAAAGTTGAGTAGTGTTTCTCCAGGAGAAATTGCTTTCATTGAATCACTTGTTTTTGGACACAAAAGAAAATAATGACAAACCACCTTGTGCTCAGAATAAAAATTTACCCATAGAAAATCCCGAGAGAGTAATCCTACTTGCAGAGAAAGGCCCATAACATGAAGCAAACACGCAACATTTCTGTCAGTACTAGAAATCAAATCCTAAGAACTCAGTGAATTCACAGGGGGCAAAGTGGGCTCATAGCACTATTCCTGGAATTACTATTTCTCCAGTCCGTCATTTCACTACTGCTCCATCATTATCACACAAACATCAGTCCAGAGCACATTGACACCAATTAAAAAATTGCCGAGAGCTCATTTTGTGCCCCATGACACATCTAATACAAGCAAAACCTAATGTTTAGATTTTAAGGAATGTTGTCAAGGCCAGATTGATTTTTATTGGGTTTTGAAGCTTGAGAGTCGAAGCATCAATTATTATCATATTGTCTCAGATTTAGATTAAAGGTTTCATTAAAATGAGGATAAGGTAACTTTCATGTAACAGGAGCAAAATCTGAATAGACAAAAAGGTATCCAGTGCTCAAATAAATAATTTATAATTTGCTATAAGATCTTACCTGCAAACTTGGAACTGTTGCAAAACACACCCAGCAGCAATAGTGTCTTGATTCAATTTATTGGACGCTAATAATACATGCTTCCAGAGCTGACGCCATGAAGGGCTAATATCTAATGCACAAACTGGAGAGGTTGGGGGTTGCAACAAAACATGATAATTACAAGAACCATTGTGTTTTGTCTGATATAAATTCCGTACACTAGGAACATGTTGTTGCAGCTCATGAAGAATCAAATATTTCAATCCAGGCATGACATGCTGAAAAAATATAGTCTCTGTGGTAAAAAATGTCATCATAATGAACTATCTACCAACAACCTTACACAAGTTTCAAGTTACATCTTACACAAGTTCAAAGAAAGTCACAGAAAACATGCCTCAAGCAACTAATTGTATTCATTTCATCATAGTTCTTACAGAACAATGACAATAAAAAATAAGGGACATTTTTAATCTAATAATTAAGCAAAAAGAAAATACTTGTCACTAAACTGAACTAACACAACTGAAAAACTGAATGTCACATTTTCTAGGTCTATAAATTTCTTAACATGTTCTGAATGAGACTGACAGCTGCATTTTTAAAGACAAATATTACATCTGTGGTGGCTCCAGGACAAAAAACAATATAGTTTTGGAAGAATACTAAAGTGTGTAGGGTACATTCAGAACATGCAAGAAGCAAATTTATTGAAGGAAATCAATCTCTAACTAAAGTATCCCATTTAATAACAATACAATTCAATTTTTGCACACACACTTGTAATACCAACACAACACACAAACACTACACAAAACACAGTATTTTATTGACCATACCTTTATGAGAGTATAAATGGTAAGGTCTATTCTCAGAGCTTGATTTATAAAATTTTAGGTCCCGGAATGCACCTCAAATTAATTATTAGTTTAAAAGAGATACTTATATATTATAATATAATTTAATATTTATAAATTATACTTAATAACAACTTAAATAAGGAAAAAATTATGTAATTTTGAGTTTACAAAAATTTATTAAACTATAAATTAATGTTGCCAAGAGTTTGTTCTCTGCAGTTTGTTTGTTTTTGTTCCCGAGGTACCAGAATGTTGTTCTGTCATGCCCCACCAAAAATCAAGTCCTGTCTACTCCTAAGCAGGGAGTCATTGAGCCCACTCATATCACTCGTACAAAAGAAAGATAAAAAAATGTATGTGTTCTTATCAAGGGACAATATATTGACCAAACATTTAGATACAAATGTCTTCACGGAATCCACTTTTAATCTCAATCTGATATTCTCCTTCACAAGGATCTAACAATTTCCTTTTCCCCCAACCTTTCTGAAATCTTAAGAGAATAAACAAGTGAAAAATAGAAGCTCTCTTACAGCCAATTCTGCTCAAGGGTTGCTATGAAAAAGTATGGATGACAACATTACTAATGTAAACAAACAAAATTTTCCTACACAGGGAAATAGGGGGGGGGGGGAATACAACCACTCAAAGTGCAATGGGAAAACAACGTCTTCTATAAAAGGAAGATTAATAAAAATGAAACTACAAAAATGCAAATTTAAAGAAATATTAAAAAAGAAAAGAGAGAGATACTCATATCTTTTACCATTGTAGTGGAAAGCAAGAGTGAAACTGCCTCAACAATTTGATTAATTCTCAAAAATGTAGAGCATATGAATCAAGTGAACTGAAAGCAATATGAAAGTGGTGGGTTCCTTAAGCCCCCCCCCCCCCCCCCCTGCATTTCTACGGTTAAAGCTTTTAATATTACTTTGGTATTCACGGATCAACGGATTCAACAGATCTAATGAAAGAACTTCTAAGGGCTTTGTAAAACTTAAGTTTGTGCGTTCGTAGGTTTCCACAGCCGGCTTCAGCAGTATAGCTCGGAAGAAGGCCACAGCAAGATGGCCGAAACGTCAGTACACTTGACCGAGACACGGCTCATCCCGGATAGTCAAGATTGCAAAACTTAAGTTTTTCACATTAAGATTAAAATCTAAAAATTTAAGATTATTAAACATAATATTGGGAATTGAAACAATCTATGTTGCACCTACTGCGATTGTGCTTCCAATGGATTGTTTAGCCACTTAATTCCCTTTTTTGATTCAGTAAGCAGTCTTTCTGATGAGGATGCGAGGGATGTTTTGTTATGAAGTATATTGCAAATAAAGAAAATTTAAGTTAGGATTGAAGATGCATAAAATAATATATACACTTTAGCCACCCAGGGACTTTTTTTTTAGCATGGAATGTTATAGCCCACAGCTTCTCTCTGCACTTCCTTGTCAGCTAAAGCACCATCTTCAAAGAAATATCTCTTTACAGTCTTGTGGGCAGCTGTGCAGACTTTACACCCTTGGTTCATAAACTACTATTTATGTGATTTCAAATTTATATTCAAGAACTTAAACTTAAGGTTGAAAGTGACAATGAAATTAGACCTTCAAGAGAAAGGGGTTGATGGAGAAATTACAAAAGCAAGTATTTTGAAATCTAATATTCAACCCTCAATTGCAGTTTGACCTTTCATATCTAAAGTCAAGAAAACATCGTAAAACAGAATACTTAAAACTCTTACACAGCTCTGCTCATTAAAGTTGTCAATTAATCTTTGGGGAGAACATTTATCAAGTTTCCAATCAGTGGAATTCTCCAAAACTTGCCTGGAAAACTTGCTCACACTATCTTGCATGCCTGTCAAACAAAACAGAAATATTACAACAACCTGAACAAATTACAATAACTAAGTAATCTATTCTTAACTCTTCTTACTTATCTATATTAAGTTATCTAGTTCACTAAATAAATATTTATTGTCTTTTATCTAATGCTTAAAGATAACTGCTATTACATTTTTGGTGATTCAGCTCTTCTGAGAAGTCAGAAACTTGCAGAATCTTGAAATCTTTGTAGAATTAAATTGACTATTTAATATTCTGTGCTATTTAATTAGACAGATCTAACAATTAGTCTTTTAGCTTGTTAATAAACACTTATCAATATTAGAACATTTTCCCATACACAGTACTGGGCCTAAATGATGTAACAAACCATTACAGATCAGATCCTGGACATTCAACTTCAGATGTCAAGTTCGTATTACTATTATAATAATAATAATAATAATAATAATAATAATAATAATAATAATAATAATAATAATAATACCAAATTTGGAATATTTGCAAAAGTGCAACTAGTTTTATTAAAACCTATAAGGGCAAAGATATATTCACTCATAGCAAACATCTGTGAAATCATTTTCTTCGCAAGGCTAAGAGCAACACAATCACCTACAAGTAAACTTTGGCTGAAGAAGGTAGATTTAAATTTTATTGCAAGAGTGCATTTTTGTCTTGTTTATGACTGTAGTAAAAGTTAATATCAATGGAAACTAATCTTAATGTGGCAATTGTTGTTGGGAAGACACAATAACAGGCTGAATATTCATTAACATAATCAATTTCCAAATCTGTGATTCAACTTTCTTTGCAGTCAAAATGTCAATATTAAATCTGCCATAATCGTTAGATTAAATTGCTCCATTATTTGGAACAGTTGAGTATTTCTATAAGTATTAATTGCAATCAATTCAAGTGAGAAAGAAATGTGACACCATACTCCGAGAGAAATCACTGTTTAAATCAATAAACAGCGCCACTGAAATAGATACATAATCTTTGGGTGTTTCCTTGAGCTCTGAAAACTCTATACCTACTTTATAGTAGTTGAATTATGATTTAACGGTAACAATGGACAAAGGGCAACATTGGCCACATTGGTAACAGAAGATTCTCCCTTTCCATGTAACAAAAACTATTTGCACAAAAAGCTCTTACACCTCGCAAAATAAAAACCCAGAAAAAAGGGCAAATAGTAGTATGTGCAAGTTCAAGTGTCAGCAACATCAACTTCTCTTATAACATTAATTTTGTTAAAATCAAGTTTTTAACTTCTTTAAAATTTTTAAATGATAAAACAAACATTTATGGTTTTATAGGTATTTTATATTTCTTCTGATCTTATGACATTGAACACTGAGGTATGATGAAAGAAATGTATACATAAAATCTGTGAATGATAAATAAAGCTAAGTTGATATGCAAACACCTGAAAATAATATTGCTCACAAATTGTACATTTAAATCACTTTTGTTTCTGAACTGTGTATCTTCTAGCTCTAAATAAGATGTTTGTTTGTGAGCTTACCACACATTGTGCTACAAAGGCGACTTTGCATTATATTGAAGATGGTGGTCAAAAGAACTTCTCTTTCTCGTGGGCGCACAAGGTGCATATGTTCAACGGTTGCTGAGAGCAGAGCTTTAAGGGCTTCAATTAGTTCTTGTTGTTGCTCTTTCCCTGTACTGTCTGTCGATAAAGATGTCAGAGTAATTTCAACACAGTACCATAATTCATGCCAAAATCCAATCTAAAAGAAAACATATTCACATTATAATTATTTATATAGTACGGTAGCAGCATAGTTGAAAATATATCTGCTTATTAAATTCAACACATCTTATTGTGTATTATGTTGTGGAGAGTGCTTGCAAACTACCAAAAATTGTCAAAAATATTATCTATATAAAATATTACCAACTATATTGTTATAAAATGACAAGATTAGAATGAGTTCTTTCAAATGAGGTTACTCCTACATGGATACAAAAATGCACTGCTGAACGTCATGAAGGCCGGACAAGAGACTAAATTTAGCTTATATTGTGTCAGGTGGGGAGTACTGGTGGTACCACCAACACATGCTACATATGTTATTAAATTATTCCTTTCCTCATCTACAAAACAATCAAATAAATTTCCCAACAAATGAAGAGAGAAAGATACAATCAATATTAGTATAACATAGTTATGTTATATGTGGTTTCATATACACTCCCTCATCCACACTCCGTGGATGGTTTTTAATGGCATTTCACATCAATACAATATAGATATCTGACTCATATAACATTAATAGTGACCTGGCTGTCAACTGAAGGAGGAAGGCCACCAGCATTTATCAAAGCAGCTGCAAGCAGCATCGCTTCAGCTCGCAGTGAATAATTAATTCCTGACAATAACAAGCATATAGATCCCCATAGCTGCTGCTGTAAATCTCTATGTAAACCTACAAGACCTGTTGCAGACTTCTGAAGCACCTGAAACAGAAAGGATTTTTGTAAAGAAGAAAACAAATATCTTGAACACATGCACTGAAGTGAAACATTATATGAACAGCAAACCTTCATAATGTAAGCTAAGAGGTGCTGGCAACCACTTATGCTATGAAGCTGAAGAAAACTGGGCTTTAAGTCCAATTCCAAATCTCTAAAAGTCTCCATTTTAGGTATAAAATGCCTTAGAGGTAGAGGAAATTCTGATATATTGCCTTTCTCCACTTCCATGAGATCTAAAAAACATAGAAAATCAGTTAATCAAGACCCCAAACCGAAAGTTGAATAATATTAGAAAGTACCACCACTAAAAATTCCACCAAATACTGTTTGAAAAATATGTTTGTTTTTAGAACCAGGAGAGGAATTACCTCAACTGTAACAAGAGCTAATGAGAAGTGAGAGAAATGACAAATAATGCACGATCCTGAAAAAAAAAAATTTTTAATTATAATAAACTGTACTGTTTGATAAATTTTGAAATTGTTTTAAAATCTTTAAGGAATTTTTAACTACGTCGCCATCATTGAATTTGAGAGACAGTGAGAATGTGAGCAATGTACCTCTCAAAGGGGGTTAGTATTTTATGTTACCAGTTGACAAAGGAGGGGGGGAGCTAAAAATAGGTACGTTTTTTTTAACATATAATTTGAATCACTTCTTACAACTATCCAAAAGTCTACATTTTTCATTAAGTTGCATTCATTCAAATATGAACCCAAGAACTCTAGAAGAGTAATTGAACATTTAATTTGTTCAAAATCTTTATAGAAAATATTAGCAATCTTCTTAGCTCTCAAGAAATTACAAAAGATAATTAGTTTTTATTTATTAAAAGTTCAAAATATTCCACTATTCCACAAGATATTCTAGAAAAATTTGCTCTCACATTGACTCAAGCATTCTCAACAAAAATTATTCTTTGAACTTAAATTTTCAATTTGTTATTAAAAATTTTAATAAAACTTTATTAATTAATTAATGTTCTCTTTGATATTTAACACTCTCACACTTGCGCTGTTGAATAGGGTCAGTCATTCCTTTTCTAGTTTAGAAATTAACTCTTGATTTCCAGGAAAAAAAACAACAATTATTCTATTCCTCCAACATTTGAAAAGTATATCGATAAGCTCATTTACTTCCAATGTTCCAAGGACCTGCCACCGAAATTGTGGAAAATAGTGCATGAGCAATCACGCAACAGATTTTTGCATGTGATGATTCGTTAAAGTAGCTACTTAATAACCAAGATGTTGATCTGACTTAAAATAAATGGCTTTTTAATAATTCCCTGACTGCACACTACACTAAGCTAATTTCTTTGTAATTCTTATTAATTTCAATAAACTGAACTAATAACTTTTTCAGACATACCTTGCATGCACAGAAGATAATATTTTATGATATTTAGATACAGAGGTGGGTATGTGACAAAAAGCAAATTTAAAATCTGTATCTGAGTTTTCAGTGCTGCTTCATGAACTCCAGTCAAAGTTTCTTTGCTCAAAACACACAGCATCCGACCAAGAAGCCATGTATCAAATGCTTAAAACAAAAATCATTCCATTTAGAATAACCATCGATATGCAGGAAAAGAAACTAGTAATATCCTTTAAACGCTTCATTTAAATGCGAGACTAGTCCATTTAATACCACAATACACTAGTTCTTGCAAATTAATTGATTCCACAAGCCCCAGGATGTTTACATAACAAAAAAGGAACTACAAAAACTCTAATGTGCATATTTGTGGACAATTTACAATATCCAAAGAAAATATTCTCAAAACTATTTTTTTTTTTTCTCAAAATCTTTATTGGTTTTACAAAATTAAGAATGCAAACAACATTTTTTACAAGAGTCATTATCACCTAGGTATAGAGGACAAATGATGAAGCTAATAAAAGAAAGAAGGATAGGGCAATTTTCTCACTAATCGAGGCAGTAAATGGATGGAATGCATTCAAAAGAAAACTCAGAAGTCCAAGAATAAGCCTGGTGTAAATAAGTTGATCAAGCAAGAAACATGCCTGCAAGCCTGGACAACCAAAGGTACAGTCATGCTGTCTTCCTATGGAAGCAGCCGGCAGGACCAGGTAGTATTAAAAATCTAAATGAAAAAGGAAGATAATACCATTCAAGATTTTTGATTTTCTCGTTGTTGCTGACAGGCTTCCTTCTCTCATGAGGAAATCCCTTCCTACTTTTGAGTATGAGTATGTCCTCTGATCTCTTTGAGGACAGAACCCTACGTATGTGATGAACCCTTCTCAGCACTGGCGATTATAAAAGTGCAAAGAACAAAAAATAAATTTCTATTTTTGCTGATGCCATTTCTAGATTCAAAAGGGCACAATAGCATTTTGAAGAGACAGCATCACAAATCAAATAGTTTGTAAGTAATCATACTGAGTGGTCATGTGAATTCAAAGTTACAAAGAAAAGATTGTTTGCATACACATAAGTGCGAATGTAAATTTTAGAATTACAATAAAAATGTAAATCACTTCAATTATTAATTTTTTACAGTAATTCCTTTCAAATATGATTTCTACAGCTTACCAGTCTTTTTGCATCCCACCTTTAGCCAGAATGCCTTTACGCATGCACATTGTGGTAAAAATAAAAGCCTTTTTACCTCCCTGTTTTAGGTAAAAGAAATGCCTGTACTTCTATTTATTACAATTATTGTCTCAACATCGTTAAAATATTATTATTTTGTTATATTTGTAACATTTAATAGCTCTACATTATTTTATTAGCTGAAAATATACTAATTTTGTATTTTAGTTTTGTTACTATTTTGAATATTTAATTTTTTTTCCTTTACACATTCTATGTATATTTCTTTTTACATACACAACACAAACCTTTTCCAATTATATTTTCTTTGAAACCTGCATAACCTGTAGGTTACATAGCTTATTTTTCGTATATGTTTCAAACAATGACAGTTCCACATATTTCCGTAGCATTGTTAAAAGTGTTTGCTATCTCCTAGATATAAATATTAATGGATTTTTAAGAATTGTTGTCACTATGCATCACAAGAAGATGAATGCGATTGCCATAAGAAGATCAATGCGTAGAGTGAAAGTGAATTAAAAAAATGTATAAATAATGTATTTAATCTGTTACTTCACAAGTTAAGCTAATTTTAGGGAAGCATTTCAACAATACTACATAGTTTATTTTTTTCAATTTTTGTTATTTGGCCAAATGATGATGCGACTTCTTGATTACAACAGATCTCAATTTTTGGTGATCTTTTTAAGACGGCACGTCAATCATATTTTAGGGGTGAATACAACGAAATATTAGACCCCATCAATGAGGAGTTAGATATTTCTGATGTTGACAGTGATATTACTTACACTACTGCTTTCATGCCTTTTCGCGGGTTAGTGAAGAAATCAAGAACTAGGTCATTGAAGATGAAATTGAAAATGATAAACCTCTGCATTATCAAAGCATTTGGCAGTTAACCCCTTTTTTAATCCTCACCTCTTGCACCAACTCCTGAACCAGTTCTTTGTACTGAAATGCAACCTGCTTTGACCAAATTTCTTAGGTGTGTGGGAAATGATGTTGCATGAAAAACTCGACTTCCTGGATTTTTGAGTAGCAGTAGCAAATGCACTTCTGAATTCAGTTCTAGGGTTAGTAGACGAAGGTGATGGCAATAATACTTTTTGGAGAGTGCCTCCAAGAATAGAAACTAATTCATTTTCCTGACGACAACCTACATTAAAGAAAAGCTCATCATTTGTCCAAAATACCAAACAAAGTAAAGTCATCTCGTTGCCATATGTCACGGTGTGGCACCCTCTGTCACTTCATATTTTCATCATGTACAGTGTTTCTGTGCCTCAACAGAAATATAATATTTTTCAATGAAAAATAGTTACTTTTAAAAGTTATGTACATGTTTGTATTTTAATGTCTAAGTTAATTTTTTAATGAAATAATTTCTTTTGTAGTACGTACTACTTAACAATGTTTTTAGATAACAAAACTTGAGATGCGATGTAACTTATCAGTTACATAGTTTTTTAGAGTAAAAAATTATTTCATGCAGAAATGGATTACATTGTAATAAAAGGAATGCCCTTGCCTTGCGAAAAACTTAACATTAAAATATAACAGAACAGCCCTTGGAGCTGAGGAGGATATGAACATTTTGTCAAAACATAATGGCTTACCAAGACATTCATCTGCTTTCTTTGAAAAATGTATATTACAACAGTGACATTGTGGAACAACAAATAATATGAATTGCATTGGTGTCTTCATAATAGACCCAAAATATGTTGATAATGCCTCAGATGAGTTGTCCAAGTTACTCCATATGTTAATTAATGTCTGATTAAGAACTTTCCAGATTCGATCTTGATTCGGATTCTTAGGCTCTCCTGAACACTCAAAATTTTCACTGCTGTAAAAGGTCAAACATGTAAAGTATCTTTTCTCAAATACAAATAATACACTTCATAAGCATATTAATGTAAACAGATAGAATTATAAATTAACAAAATGTATATTTCTATCATTGCAAAAAGTATACCGGCAAACTCGGCAACCACATAATATCCAAAATACCTAACTGTTAGGCTACATTTGAGAAAAATTCACCTCTATCAACTTCAAATCAAAAACACAAATTAATTAAGTAAAAAATGTCATATGAAAAGAGCAAAGTACTAGCAGAAATTCTGTGGAAAAAGGTTCATTAAAACACACACACACACAATCTCTGGAAATCAAATTCTTCAGTAATGTGACCAATCGTCCTTCTTTTGCAGTATGTCCTTCCTCAAAAAATTGTCCTCCTTTTCGATATCTTAAAACTAATATGTTAATGTGTTAATCAAGTGAGAAATGATGTACACGATGGAATGTTGATACTCTAGCTGCAGCTCTTTCTGTAAAATCCAATATAAAAGATATTTCTAGCTCTGAAATTTCAATACATTGTTAGAAAATGATATATTGACAAAAAATATTCATTCAATGGAAAAAATACACCAAATATAAAAATATTAAATAATTAAAAGCGATGTTAGCATAATGTATTTTTGTTTAAATTAATAAAATGTTTCATTAATTAATGTTGTATTTTTTACTTAAATTTTTTCATCCACCTTCTCATAGTAAAAAAATTGGTCATCTCAGTACTTAAGTATTTTTTTTTTAAATTGCCTTAGTTTCTAATATTGCATGATGAATTTACTTATTTTGCACTTATTTTATTACAAAATACTCCAGTACATTCAAGAAAAAAGGATAAAATCTTTACCTTCGTTCCAGGTTTTCAATTTGAGTCAAATTTCTTGATCGTGATGAATCCATTTTACAATTAAAAATAAAAACCTAGAAAATTGAAATCATTCCCAACACAGAAATATAATAAGGCCTAGGTAAGAAATGATAATAAACCTACCAGAGATGAGATTAACAGATAAAACAAGTATTTACACAACACATGACATTAATTTTTTTAGGTTTGTAACATACCTTTCATTCATCAGTTTTGCAGTGCATTTATTGTAGTAGTCATTAGTTTCAAATATCGACCAATTATAAAATGGAATTAAGGATTTGCTACATCATTAAAAGTTCGAAACCTCCAGAGAACTAAAAGTTGAAATTTCGGAAGTGAATATTATTTTCGTGATAAAAAATCACTAATCATCAAATTAAACAAAACATGTCATAACCTGACAGCATCATCCGCAACCCGCGCAAATCCTCAAACCTCTGCACAGCACATGGTGATGTATTTTCTTTGTGAATCTGTTAGTGTGTGCTGAGGAAGGAGTCACAGAATAACTAGTCGCTCGAAACGCGCGCAGCTAATTGTACGCAGTGGCATATTTGGATATCCTGTTATTGAGAAAAGCTTTCAATAAACGCATTTATCAAAAACAGAACTATTTTAGGAACAATCAATCTGCGAGATTCACAGCAAACTATTAATGTATACAATATCATTATAAATGTTGCATGATTTATGGATTTCCTTCATTATGTATTGATAAATGGTTCCCTTGTTTCTAGTTCTGCTAATTTCTATTAACATTGGCTAGATGGATTATTTTTTCAGCTTTTGACTTAATTAAAAATCTTATGAAATACATAATCACAATGCTAAGAAATCTCAGCGTTTAATTTTCACTTTCCCATATACACGGTGTAGTTCCCGTGCATACAGTGTAATATAAGTAGTATGGGGAAAGTTGCGGTAATGCTGTGGAAAATCTATTTCAAGATTTCAACGGAAATACACATTTTTGGGTACCCTGATGACAAAGAGGTTTTTTAAACGTCCAACTGTGAACAGTACAAGTGGTTAAACCATGCTGAGAACTTTTTTTTCAAATTAAAGAAACATTGGTCCATTTGGCTCGAATCGAATCTTTGAGATTTTGAAAAACATTCTTTGAAATTTGGGAGGTACTTTACATGAAACCCTTAAGATATTTTCAACATTTTCTCAATGACGCTTCCATTTTTTTTCTTAATCGACACTCTTAAATTTGTTGTAAGAATAAAGTAAAATACTCTTATAGTGATAGCATAGATTCTATTTTCAGGTTTAACTCTGAATTTTCGAAAATTTCAAAAGTTTAATTTTTTTCGGCGTCTTCCTACATTTACAAAATTGGAGAGATTTTTCCTTTCCGATAAATTTTGTTCTCGTTATGTAGTTCTTTCATTGAGGTCATGAACATTTTTTAGAAAATTTTAGTACTTTTCGCGCAATATTGCGTGCAATATTTACAACTTAAAAAAAATACGTAATCAAGATTTTATCAAAAAGGATGAACAGTTTTTCTTTAAAAGTTTGATAGGGATAGTGCTAAATGCACTCTATAAGATGGCATAGACGCCATATTGCTCTATTCTTTTGTTTTTTCAAAAAATAATTTTTTTTTTTTTACTTGACTCTCACGTTAATATTTACATTACCGTAAATTTGTTTACATTGTTGTATTTGTGAATAATAATACTACATGCGCTTTAAATAATCTCATATAAAACTTCTTGAAACCATAACCGTTTTTTGTTAAAATGAGCTCTAACTTCTGCATATTCAGAAACACTCAAACATTTTCTCAAAAATGGCTCCAATTTTTTTCTTTGAACTTTTTAAACGGATAGTACTAATTGCACTGTTGAATATGACGTAAATTTCAGTTTGTTGTTTTCTTTTGTTTTTTCCTAAAATTACATAAATGTATTTTTTTTAATATCTCTCACACTGTCAATGAGCAAATTTTCAGCAGTCTGTAAACACTATTCAATTTGCGAGTTACAGTATTTTAAATGACATCAAATGAAGTTTTTCGTAAACTCAAAATATTTCTGTGAAAAGATCTTCAGATTTCGCATTTACAGTAACGCTTTAACACCATTTCCTTAAAAACCGCTCCCAATTTTTCAATGGAAATTCCTCTTCAATAATATTTTCAAAGTATTACTTTAGTTCAACTATGAGAAAAGTACTTTGAGCGGCGATAGATGGCAGCTGGCAAGAGGATGGAACAAAACCGTAAAGACAGTACATAGGATATTAGAAACCTTTACTACGAGAAAATCTGTGCCATTCTGTAGCACCACTAATTACTTTCTCCTATATGAGTAATATACGTAGTATAGAGAAAGTGAATAAATCCAGTTGCTAAATTAAGAAAACAAATCCTCTAATATGTGGTGTAGGCCGAATATCTGCTTTATGAGTCCTTAAAACTGAGAAACCAATTCACGGTAAAAAGTCCGTCCGTCTGTTAACAGCGCCTAAACCATACGTAGTATTTTTTTTCCAAATGGAAGAAACCACTGTCGATCTAGCTTGAGTAGAAGCTTTCAGATTTTAAAAAACATTCTTTAAAATTTGGAGGTACTTTACATGAAGCCCTCGGGAAGTTTTCATAATATTCTCAAAAACGGCTCAAAATTTATTCTTTAAATTTCTTGTAAGAATAGAGTAAAATACATTTATGAAAGTGGCATAGGTCCGATTTTCAGGGTCTACTATAATTTTAGAAACTTTCAAACATTTGAACTTTTTCGGCGCCTTCCTATAACTACAAAATTAAAGATAGAGATTTTTCCTTCAAATAAAATTTATTCTCCTTTTTTAGTTCTTTTATTAAGGTCATGTACATTTTCGAAAATTTTTATAGTTTTCGCGCAATTAGGCTAGCAATATTTAAAAATTACAAAAACAAGATTTTCTCAAAAACGGCTTTAATTTTTGTCTTTAACCTTTTGGTAGGGTACTAAATGTACACTATGTGATAATATGAACGACATTTTGCTTTATTCTGTTGTGTTCTTTTTTATTCAACAATGAAGTTTTATTGACGTGTCTTCATGACGTTAATTTTACCGGCAATTTGTTCACATTCTTGTACTTAGGAGTACACTTGCTTTAAACGATGTCATATAAATTTTGTCGAAAACTCGACAGTTTTCTGTGAAAATTAGCTCAAAATTCCGCATTTTCAGAAACGTTCAAACGTCATTTTCTCCCCCCCCCCCCAAAAAAAAACAGCTCCAGATTTTTCTTCAAACATTTCATACGGATAGTGCGAATTGCACTGTTGAAGTTGACAGAAAATTAAGTTTGTTTTTTCCTAAAATTACACAAATGTATTTATTTTAACATCTCTAACACCTTCAGCATGGATTAATCTATGCCTTTAGTAATCATATTTCTAGCGATTAGCATACATTATTGTATTGTACTGTGGAAGTATTCCAATACATTTTCCCGAAAATTAAATTAAAAATATTATGTGAAAAAGAGCTTCAAATTTCACATTTAATCTATAGTTAAAATGGCATTTCCTCAATCGAAGGCCACAAATTATTCAATGAAAATTTTGATATAGGACGAGGTTTTACTCTTCTTTAATATTCTAAGAGTAATATTGAGGTTCTACTAGTAGGAAACCGAAAAATTTAGAAAATTTAAGAAAAAAAAATGTACATTGGCCTATTTATGGCACTTGGCTAGAGTACGTGGCAAATCCGCGTACCTAGCCCAGACCAAAGAAATTAACAACCTAACTAGTACGAGAAAGTGTGTCTTTCTGTAGCACCACCATAGATTAACATAGATATTCATCCATGGCACCAATAGTTTCTGTAATGTGATGTGAGAATCATTTACCCATTGTTTGCATTGTAACTTCTAGGTACCGGTAGTGCGTCACTCTTTCAATTCTGTTATCTTCTTTTATTATTATTTCTTCTTTGTGGGATGTTTTTCCACCTTTCCTGAATACCATTTTTTACTCCTTGTTTATTTCGAAGTTCTCTCGATGCCGTCTGCTCTTATTACCACAATCTAATAAGTGTGCTATTGTGCTGTCATTATGTAATAAATCTGATTGGCACGTAGGGAGTAGAAGCGACGACTGAGAACTCGAAGGCGCCGGTAGAAGTGATGGAACAGAAGGGAACTACGGTGTAGTCGTAGTTCAGTGGAACAGAAGACGATGGTGTAGTCGACGGTAACGCTCCTGGTGGATGAGGGAATCGTTTACTCATCCTGCCTCTTTTCATGGAGTGTAGTGCTCCGTTAGTACACTTTGACTGCCTCAGAGTGCACACAAACACGTAAATATCACACTATTAATACTCTTTGGTAAAAAGACAGCAACGCAGAGCCTGCGCAAAGCAATCAGTAGAGTTGTGTATGGTGGATGCCATCCGTCAGTGTTTATCAGAACCATTAATAATTTACTACAGAGAGTAATGAAGATTTGTTTAATATCCCCTCGTATGTACTGAGAATTTAGCTTAGCTCGTAGTGTTGGAGAGGTATGACGTGTTGAAATTGTGGTTTTAGTTTTTGCATATAGGCACGTTTTGACGGAACTTCTGATATACCTTGCAAGCAAGCCGTCGTATTTCTTGCGAATTGACATGTGGGAGGTTGGTATATTTGCAAAGTATTTTTGTTTTTGATTGTTTTGAGTAGACATGCGTGAATACAAAGTTAGAGGTAGTGACAAAAATGAACAGAAAATCTTTAAACATACTAAAAAAGGCAACAAACCGAAGGATATTAAGAGAAGGAATGTGGATAAAAGGACTGTGAATGATGAAGACACTGGAAGTATTGGTGGTGAGCTTGAAGCAGACATGCGAGATTCTCAGTGTTCTGCTAGAACTTGTAGTTCACCAGTTAAATCTGAATATTCTGAAGAAGGCAGTGGGCCAGAACTTCCTGGATCTTTCAGCTTTACTGGAGGGAATGGCACACAGAGTAGTGGAAGTAGTAGAAATCCATTTCCTCCCAGCTCTAGCAAGAAGCAAGGCATTTCTGGGATAAAATTTCAACCAGGGACCCGGCTAGAAGCTAAGGATTTAGGAAATGGAATATGGTGAGTCATGGTTGTGACCAAGAGAATATGACCATTTTGTCCATATACTAGTAAATGGAGAAATTGATAAAGGTATCTCATCTTTCAATAAAGTATAATGTTTGGTGAACTTGTTTACTTACAACCAAGCAGTACTTTTGTGCTGTTCTTCCCTCCTACACAAGAGACAAAGTACATGTTTATTTTGTTAGTATATGGATGAAAGAAACCATTTCTCTTGCATACACCTTTCTAACTCATTAACTTTTAATTATAATTGATTTATTACTTTCATAATTTTGTTGATGAAGGTATGCTGTAAAAGTAGTTGAAGTGGACTGGGAGGAAGAGGAAATTCTGATACATTTTGAGAAGTGGTCTCAACGTTATGATGAATGGATTCCAATGGATAGTTCACGATTGAGGCCAGTAATGGAACCTCCTGGAGGGTTAGTATTGAAATAATATGGAGATGTATCATTTATATTACTTTTGTTTAATATTGCAGTTAAAAATTGATTATTTGTCTTTTTTACTAATACATTTAAATGACGTGTAATTTGTTGTAACTGAGTGAAATATATGATTTGTATATTATGTAAGTATTATTGTTTTACTACAGTGTAAAACTTTTCAGCAGTTTTGTCAAGAAAATTACAAAGATCTTTAAAGTTGGGGATAAAGTTATGGCAACATGGAGTGACAGTCGGAAGTACCCTGCTACGGTCAAGACGGTTCTTGGCAGTGGTATGTGTTTCGACATTTATTGAGCTTTTTTATATCTGTAGTCTGATAGATTGACTAACTTTTAACTTTTACAGACAAATACGAAGTATTGTTTTTTGATGGTTTCTCAAAAAACATTAAGGGAGGAAGAATGATTCCTTTGAAAGATGAAGAACTTGCAAAAATACAAGAAGTAAGTGTTTTGAACATTTATTTTTGTACTATTTTCTATTTCACAATAAACAATTACATTGCACTTCGAACCTTTTTGCATGTTTTTGTTAGATTATGGTTGCTAGGTTTGGGTTTGTAGATCTTCTTTATTGGAAAATTATTTTGATGACTAAATTGTCTTGTTAATTAACATTCCATGTTTGTGATGATGTACATTTAGATTCAATCTGAGGAGCATGATTGCTTACAGTTTGAGCCATTTCACCCAATAAAGGTAATTTTATTAGTATTAAAAACCTGTAGTGATTGCAATTTTATTAATGTAAACACATTATACTTGTAGGGTGTCTGTGACATGAAATGCATGGATACACTCGGGGGTTGGATGTTTCTAAGCACTGCAAGATCCCACAGCTTGTAAGGTATCCATAAGATGGCAGTGGAAAATGGCAGCACAGTTTGTAGCAGACACTTTGCATGCCTCCATTCTAGCTTGTAACCTACCTCGCCAGTCTTGGGAGAAAGTTGTCTGCCAATATATATCTTGTCTTTATTCAGTTTCATATTTTCTGTGAAATTGATACATGAAACGTTCATAAGATATCTATAGATATTTAAATCTAAATTTCAGAACAAATCTGGAATTTTGGCATAGCATCTTAGAGTTGCCCGAAGAGTTGTGGGACATGTCACTTTACAAACTCGTTTGAGGTGGTAACCATTATTTTCCTGTCATCTCTGAGATGCTTTGTGAGCTGTAGGACGTCTTTTATGCTCATTGCATATGTGTAATGGGTTAAGAACCCTAAGTGATTGTACTTGAAATCGTAATACAAGCAAATTATGTAAATTTCAATAGTAGTCCGTTAAAAAAATTCTTTTCATTCTTCTGGTATATACATCATAACCTGATCATTAAAATATAGACACACAACGGTATTTAAAACAATGATCTGTTTGCAAAATAGTAAAAATGTATTAACATGTTGACATATTACAAATGCTATGAAATGCTTTACAAAATTGAATATATTTTGCTTTTAAACAAATATACTTATAAACATTAATGTAGGTGTGCATTTTTGAATAGTCTTATGATTCGTACCTTTGTACCCCCCACTACTGGATCAAACTTTGCCTTATGTCCAATAAATAAATCAGATTTCCAAAATTGTTGGAACTATACACAGTATGTGATTTAGAGTTCGCATAAAATTAGCATTGTACAGAAGTATTCTATTTGTCTTTTCAGCTCTATCTAGACAACACAATATTTTGTTATTTTCTTGATTTCATTCAGTTTTACGCTGGAATCTCCTTTAATGATCACTATCCGCACTTCTAACAGTTCTCTTCAACCAACCTGTCCAATAGTCTGTTTGGATCCTAAAGTAGTCCAGAGTATTTTTGTATTGTGGATTTTCAACCACTTAATGTGTCTTGTTTTGGCATATCATGGGGTGTTGACATTATTATCTTTTAGGTCTGCAAAGAGCACTCATCCATTCATATATGGTTGCATACTTAATGATCGACAAGACCTTCCACTTGAGACCACTCAAAAATGTTATTTGAGTACCTGGAGGTGCAAACCACTTTAAAATTCAAGAGCATATACGAAATATACTATTACATATTATAGGTGGAAAGGTGCTGTTTGCAACCCAAGGTTCCACAGACTCATTCCTTTTTATTCTTCTGTCAAAATGCGGTTGGTTTTGTGGTGTTTTTTTTTCTTAATTTACAATAGCATAAATAATATGTATATTACTGATAATTCCATGACTGACTGACTAGTTTTTGGGCTTTGAGAGTGCCTTTTTGTAGATATATGTCAGATATATGTTCCTATCAGTTAGAGAGATTGAAATTTTATCTGGATTAGCCAATGCTTTGGAGAAACACTGCTTTAGCTTCATGTGCAAACACTAGATATTTCTGCCAAAAATGCTGGATTTTATCAGGACCTGGCGCATTCCAATTACTCTCCTACCTTGTAATATCTTCGGTTACAAATCCTCTCACTTCCATTGATGTTTTTTGAGTCTGCTTGATTTCAATTTTTTGATCCAATTTGCATTTTGTTGGTATCGTCCTGATTCTTTCCAAAAGGAACCTCAGAATTTACTGATCTCTTTGATATTTATGGTGTCTTCTCTATTCCCCTCTCTGAACTCAGTTCAATACACCTTAAGTACCTATTTCTGTTTTTGTGTTTTCTTGTGGTTTATTGTAACTACTGAGCCTTGCTACTTTAGCTGTAAACTTTTGCCTTAATGAATCTCTAAGATTAAGATGATGCCGAGTGCTCTCTGGGTATTTTAGATTAATTGCAGCTCTTCTTGCAGTTATTATTGTTATTATTATTATTGTTATTATTATTATTATTATTATTATTATTATTATTATTATTATTATTTGCGTATCATCCTTTTTTGACCATGCTACGTGTTCTCTACCAAGCAGAGTCATATTCTATCCTGGTGAGAAGTTAACTTGTGTCATTATGAGGATCAACTATTCGGTTGTATCCCTTGGTAAGACAAGGTTGTTTAGCCTTGAATTAAGAATTATGAGGTGATAGAATGATGATGAGAGATGGTCATGGCCTTTTTTAACTAATCCCAGCATTTGCCGAGTGGAAACCATGTAAATCCTGGTCAGGATGGCTGGCCTGGAGATTGAACCTGGGCCTCCTGATTGCAAAGTCAGTGCACCACTGAGCCACTTCTTTTGGTTTTTTATTATTATTATTATTATTATTATTATTATTATTAAAATTGGAAAGTTCATGCAATTGAATGTTTTTTGTTAACTTTTATTATTTGTTGGAAATTGTGTCTATATTTAATGGTAAAATATACTAAGGTGAAAAACTTTTTGCATATAAGGCAATTTTTCATATATCAGAGGTTTGGGACATGAACATTTATTTATTTGAATATTTTTCAATTTTTTTGTCTAAAGAATGTGTACATTTTAAGAAAAAGTTAAGAAGAAGAAAAATTGATGCAGAACAGTTTCTTGATGATTCAAGCAGGTGTGTACAAAAATTGTCAGAAGTCTGATAGCTGGGTCGGTGAAGTTAAATTTGTTGAGATATCAAGTAAATACAGAATGGGTGATTGATAGAATGGAAGGATGATTCTCAAATGAGAAAATATATTTCCTGTGTACATTTCTTTCAGTGAATGTATTCAGCACAAACATGACAAAAACTAATAAGCGCTCATCGTATCAAGCAATATGGAAATGTCTGTTTCAAAATGTAAGACTACTAGGTCTAATAGGTGTTTCTTAAGACCAGGAAGTAGATAATTTATTTTTAATTTGCATGAATTTTTTTCTCTAGCAGGCAATTGCAAAATATATATATATATATTTTTTTTGTGAGCAAATGCTTTATATTTCAATATTTTTTATAGAATATTTGTTTACATATTTTGGGGGTAAAATGTTGCAAAACTTTCCTATCCCAGAAATAGTGGTAGTTGTGGAAGAAGTAATCCGTGAATTAAAGGCAAAATATAATTTACTATATATCTGTTTTAAAACTACTTATCTATTATATGAAATCCTTTTATTTTAAGTTGCTTATATTAACTTAAACACTTCTTACATACAGCAACTAATCCCCCCTTTCAACCATTAGTTCAGAGTCCCAATTGTAGTTGAAACATTGGAGAAAATTGATTTATGAAATTGTGGAGAATTTTAGATAATCCTGTTAAATGAATTTTTCAAATTTAAACTGTCAAGTAATTTCAAAACTGATATGTAACAAAAATTATTTGTATTTCATGGCCAGCATATTTGAATGAGAAATAAGTAACAAAATTTTAGGGATGAAGATTACTTGCATGTGCTCTGGCAATAGTCTTTTATGCTAGGACCTGCCACAATTTGGTAAGAAAAATAATAATTATCTTTAAAATTTTTATCAGAACTTGAGTCATAAACTCAAAGAGCCATGAATGTTTCTTTTTCTATAGGGACTGCTTTTATTTTAATAAAATATGATAAATTAAGGCAGTGTAAATGTTTTTGATATCCTAATTCTTTGCTTATGCGTAGTCCTTAGAAATTTGTAATAGGGGTGAACCTACAAAGAGATTATTGTATCATGAAAATAAAATAATACAGATTATGAGAATTACATTTCACTAGACCTTGTTGATACTTTTAATTTTTGTAATTAAAGTAATGCAATTTCAGAATAATTTTTAAACTATCTTTTCTACTCAGCTGGTTTGCATTTCATTTGAGAGATAAATAGTAGAGAACTGATATATGTATTGCTAAATGAGTGTACATGTTAAATTATGAAAATTTTTGTTCTGATTATTTGTCATGAATTATACAGAAATATATAATGAATTAATAACTGTTTAATAGCATCAGAAAATTAAGTTGTCACTTTCAAAATTGATATTTAAGACACTTTATTTTGCAAGCTGTTTATCACTTTTATATATAGTCATTTGTTACCATTGTTGGAATATGTTTTATTATGATTTATCTTTTGTTATGTTTTTATACCCTTGCTTGCCATCCTTCTGACATTTCATGTTAGAAACTTGACAACCGTTCATCGATTTGGTAAGCTACAAATTTAATTGTCGTGCTTGAAGTGTGTATGAGTGTGTGTATGTATACTTGAGGTTACAGATGTTGTTTTAAAAGATATTAATTTAAAATTTGTACAGTCATGGTCTTATTTAACACCCTTCTCAATTATTACAGATTATTAACACCCTCCTTAATTATTACAGATTACTTCACTATTACAGTCTTCTAGCTAATGCTTAGTTTACTTTCTTTATTTACCATCAAAAAAATGATTAAAAACTATGTGTGACTTTTGAGGAAAAAGTACTAAGTGCATGTTTTCTTGTGCCCCAGAATCCCTACCCTCTGTCTTCCACTACATTATGTTGAATTATAAATAAATGTAGGAACAAGCTATTTGCCTAAATAATGAGATATTTGGCCAATGAAGCAATTTGGCTTAATTTGCAA